GATGTTTTAAAATCATTGTACAGTGTAAGACATCAAGATAAAGGAACATACAGCTATGCAACTGCATGTTCATGCATTAGCTGCAGCTAATATTAGTATTAGTAATATGCAGTGAATAACAGATTCATTGATTCCCAGAGCAGCTTTGTTCTACAATGCATATAGAAGCAGTGGTCGTGTTATGTAAAATGTCTGTTTAATAAAATCTGTGTCATTTGAATGATGTTTCACGTCTTCTGTGGTGACACTGGTGGCGTAAACTGCTGTGTGAGACATTCTGCATTTTTATACTCAAATGCATAAGGAAATGTTTTGCTCTGATTTCTCGAGTACAGCAGATGGTGACACCTGAGCCCTCTGTGAGTTCAGTGGCCAGTTCAATGCTTATCTTCTTTCTGTTCATTCAGGATATTGTCTTCAACTATTGCTCATTGTTCTTAAAGGCTTTCCAGTCTGGAGTTTATTGAACACAGATGATGCCTATCTATCTATGTGGATTATGTTTCAGATACCCCTCCCTGGAAATCAAGCGATGTAAGCTATTCCTCACAACGACTGATTATCTGGTAGCATATCTCTTCCATATTCTGTAACAAGATATATCCATCCTGAATGGATCTAAGAATTGTGCATGGCAGGGTATGTGCACATATGTTAATTGTCACAAATATGACTCCGGTAATCCGCTTATGGAAAAAAAAGAAAACATTGGGAGCTGGGATATCCGCTATACATTACATTTAAACAATAAGAAAATGTAAATGAAGAATAGCAAACCATGTCACTTGAAGATGCGTTCAGACGTGCTCTAATTGCTTAGATCTCTTATAAAATATGTGTGGAATTGTTAAGCTTGCATGCAGTGACTTGCTAAGCCTTGCTCTTAGATCTCTCCTATCAGCACATCTGAGTGCATTCGGAGGGTGTGTCACCCTTGATCAGGGTGGTGCTGCTGCCGGGATGAGATGTCAAAGAATCCACCACTTCTTTTGTGACTGAAAGAATTTCCTTAGGGTCCTTGATCCCTCATTGGGGGAAACTCCCTCCCTCAGAACACTGTTCTCCTGCCTCACATGGGCAGACACAACTTGAGAAAAAAGGATGAACTAGATTGAGGGGAGTGTCTGTGTGTGTGTGTGTGTGTGTGTGTCTGTGTCTGTGTGTGAGAGAGAAATAAAGAGAGAAAGACGGTGAGAGTGTTTGAGAGGGTGAGAAAGATATAATTATACAGCTTACTCTTTGTGAAGAAATTAAAAAATGGCGACGTCGTGAACTGGTACAAATTCCTCAGTGCTCCTGGACATTTCAAAAAGAAGCAACGGAAGATAATTGCAAGATACTGCTCTCTAATTAAGCACAGAGACCTGACTTTGCCGTGACCCGCTATGGCAGGCGCTGGCTGAGTGCACATGCCAGGGGCAGAAATAGACGGTAAAATGAGTCTTACGCCGAGGGCATGCGAGAGCCACTTTATCTCCCGTGAGAATGTGCAATGCTGCTCTATGTGTCACATAGGGCCAGGCTAAAGAGGCTACATTCTGAGCTCCTCAACTGAGGGCCTTAATCGAGTTTTCACTGAACCTATCACAGGTCTGTGTGAAATAATGCACTTCCTCAGTGGAAACCTCAGAGTGTTTGATTCTTCACTGAACAACCAGCTTTATAAGTGAGGATACACTAGGGGTACTTTTGTTATATCATTGAAAATGTGCGTACCAAAGTGGTAAATACACATTATAATTGTTACTGTTAGTAGCGTTTTGAACTTAAAAGTATATATAATCCTCTTTATTCTGGTTTCCGTAGCACCAATCTGCTTGATGTACATGTATGCCCCTAGGGTATGTGCTTGTCTTGCACAAGGCCATACTCACCATATGTCTTTTCTAACACTCTGTGACAGGCAAAACACAGCGAGGGCCATTGTTCAATGGTCTGGGGGGAAGAATCTAACCAATGTGGCCGCTGAATTTATTCAACCTGGCTTGCTACAGACTGTACAGGTTCAGATCCTGGCCGGTTCAAGCGCTGCTCTAACCTTGCCCAGAGTACTTAACCTGAATTACTGCACTGACGTCAGGCTCTAACGGATACGCGACCCGCGCACCTGCGAGACAGGCCTCCGTGTGCTGAACTGGCTGTCTTCACTGGCAGGCACGGCAGCAGAAAGCAGTTCACACCAGCAGAACAATGCAACGCGGCGGCTTCTGCCCTCCTCGTGAGTTTCCATCCAGCCCCGCTGCTATGTATAGCTGCGGCACGGCTTTCGTTACGCACAAACCCTGGCTGCCTCTGACGGTCGTGGGCGCGACCCCCGTATCTGCGCTCCGCTGTGTTTGGCAACAAAGTCACACGTGGACATAAATTATCCCTCCAAGGCCAAAGTCCGTGTATGTCACTGCAGTGCACGATCAGGATTCCGATCACCTGACATGCAATACAGAGGTGAATTCTGGGAAAAAAGTGAACCAGGAGAGTGGCTTGTTAGAGAGGGGAATGCTGGCAAAGAGAAGACCAGGGAGGGTGCAGGTATCACATTTCCCCTAATTTCGGGTGGGAGAAAAAATGTAACATGAGTCAGATGGGACAGCATTTCGGAACTGTGAGTTCATACAGCTGTGGCTTCACGCAATGCAGATATAAATACATACATTGAACCCTCATTAATCCTACAGTAAGGTACAGTGATATCTTTGACCGGCACAAACAGCTCCTAAAACCCCAAGCAAGTGGTGTTGAACTAGAATCACTTCCAATTTGAATGGGTTCCAAAACTGGCCAGAGAGTTGTAGCCGGATGGAGCAATTGCTTCATTTCCCCAGACAGTCACAGTTCCAGATGTGATCTCTACGTTTTGACACAGTTGTCGTTCTACTGTTTTAAGCTCTTTTTATCTCTGGTCACTTCTGAGAACAGCTGGCAAGAGGACCGTTTGGGAATCGTATTAGTTTCCAGGACTCTGGCCACTCAGCTGTCCTGAAAGAGCTGACCTTGTCACATGAGGGTTAGGGGACACGGGAGACATGGAAACGCCCCCACATCCACACACGCCCCCTCACCCCCAGCTGCAAGACTGCGAGGCCAGTGAGAGAACCAGGTGCCCTGACCCAGCTTCCTAATGTTGCAATGCCCACTGATACCCTAGGGGCATTACTGCAATCATTCCATCTGCCCTCTTTACACTGAAGGATGTCTCTGTGCGCTATCCAGGTCAGGGCTGAGGGTTGCCCTAGCAATAGTACCTTTGTGCACTGCCCGGGAATCTTTCCCAGCTGCTTAACGCTTCATGGTAGACACCAGCTTTCTGCCAGCTCCCTATCTTGAGAAACGGTAAGCCGGCTGAATCCAAAAATAAAGCCTCCATCCTGCTTTGGCTGACCGTGCCCTCACTGCAGTGTGCACAGAGTGATCCGTGAGCAGACCACAGGGAAACCACACTGGACTCCCCAATCTGTCTCTAGCTGGCCTAAATGGTGCACACCTGAGTCTCGAGATTCAAGACGGGGCGGGTGGCAGTGTAGCATGGTGGTAAGGAGCAGGACTTGTAACCGAAAGGTTACCCTGCTGGGGCACTGCTGTTGTACCCCTGAGCAAGGTAATTAACCCAGAATTGCCTCAGTTAATATCCAGCTGTATAAATGGATAACTTGTAAAAACTGTAACCTATGGAAGTCGTTCTGGATAAGATGCTAAATGCCAATTCTATAACGGCCCTCCAGACAGCGTGTCTACTCTGTTAGGACAGCGAGGCGGCCATTTCAGAGCTACGAGATGGAGGAGTGGAGGGTTCAGGATCCAACTGTATAAATGGGTAACACGGAAAAAAAAAAGAATTGTAACCTATGTAAGTCACTCTGGATAAGACCGTCTGCTGAATGCCAGTAATGTAATGTAATTTTCACCACAGAAGAATAAATGAAGTGCTGGTTATTTCATCATCACAGCCCCAGATCCTCTATGTTGCAACTGACGGTACAGCCTGGCGTAAGACAGTGAATTTCGCCTGAAATGTGCGGCATGACGGCAACGGCCCTGAGACACAGATTTCCCCATTGTTGCTCTCTGACGGATTCCGTTAATTAAACAGCCTGGGCGCCCACTGTTACTCGGGCAGTCACAGAACAGAGAGCCGTGGTGAGAATTCTGAGGGCCTCTGTGTTGCCCTTGAACGCCTCACAATACCGCATTGTGAGGCGCGCAGCACACCTGATTGATGTTTGCATTTCAATACGCTGCCAGGGACATTGTAGCGCCGGCGCCAATCCGTTTCCAAACAGCGCTAAGCGCCGGAACCTCCCACAGGTTTTGGTCCTTTTTTATTCTGAAATGTGAATCACTCTCAGATGAATACCTTGCTTGAGTTATGCCCTGCCTCTCTGTACATAGGTCTTCCCTAGTCCTCCAGAGTGGCAAGTCTTGGGTGGCCCTTTCTAAGCTGGGCCCGAGTGCAGGCCAGCGTGCATCACCTTATACATTGTACATCATGTTTAGTCCCTCTCCTTTTCTTCCCTACGATTCTAACCAGTTTGGTGTTTCTCAAACCTTGTCCTGGGAAACCATTTTTTTTTTACCAGCTGAGTTCTCAGTTAACTAGCTTGCTTCATCTCTTGATTATATACTGATCTGGATCTGGCATGATATTGCAAGTTAGCTCTCAGCTCCTTCTGTCAGTTGCAGAAAATGGGTTTGCTCTGTTATAAGGTGCTCCTTTAAGTGATTTCAATTAATTTGATGTGTAAGTATTAATCTCTATCGGTTAGGAGTAATTGCAAGCAATTCAGTGGGGCCTGGGATGAGTAAGTGAACAACTAAGTTAGCTTAATTGAGAGATTGGCCCTGAATTAGCTTGATGGGGTGTATATTACATTACATTATTGTCATTTAGCAGATATTCTTATCCAGAGCGACTTACACAGTCTACAGTTTTACATGTTATCCATTTATACAGCTGGATATTTACTGATGCAGTTGTGGGTTAAGCACCTTGCCCAAGGATACAGCAGCAGTGGCCCAGCAGGGAATCGAAGCAGCAACCTTTTGGTTATGAGCCTAACTCCTTACCACTACACCACACTGCTGCTTAATCAAAATAAACAACTTAATCTTCATAGTAGCACAAATCTCAGCACAGCACACCTTTTACCAAAGGATTTTATATCAGGTAAAGTGACGTATGTCCCATACCCCCTCAGTGCTCTCTATGTTTATGTTTTTGACTGTTTTGTTTTGTACTGATTCACACTGAGGTAAATTTTGATGAGGGACCGCTGACGACTTTGTGACAAGATCACAATGTTCAGATTTCCGTTGTATGCAAAGCTTTTGCCCTTCTGTTGTCCTCTTCGTGACCTGGTGGATTGTGGGAAAGAGTGAGAAAGTGTCTGAGGACACACCCCCTGTTCCAATCCTGTCTCCACCCCTGACTTTAAACAAGACCTATAGCACAGTACTTGGCAGGTTGATTTGCTGAGTTGTGGTGGTCATTTTTTATACAAGTGTCTGTCATTTTTTCAGTAATCCACAACTGGGTGGGACATTTCAATACCCTCTATAAGGACACACTATAATTGCTATAAAATAAGCTTTTGAACCCAACAGAGGTGGAGGGTCACTGCATGGGGTTTGGGTGAGTATAGGTGAGTGGTATGTCCTTTCTGAATCCTTTGAATCATGTTCCCTCTCAGGCTTGATTTATTGGGGGAGGATCCAGTTTAACCCTGTCTGATTAGAGAAGAGAGTCTGAAGGACCCCTCAGTTCCTCAGATTTTCAGATCACCCTCCAGAGCCAGCTTGATCAGCTGCTGTTCTCAACAACAGTCCCAACCGATTCCTCCCCTCCAAAACTCCCTTGAATAATCCAAAGAGTTTGTGGTCCAGTTCTGCTTTTCTGTTCTGTTGGCCATTCTTTATTGTGAAAGGGAGATACTGTGGGACTTCCCACAGTTTATATCTGCGATCTCTGTCTTTTCATTGCCATTGATTCCTTGTAAAAGTGACAAACACGATAAGTCAGGGTCTTACGATTAATCGTCTAATTCCTATATGAATTGGTTTATCTAACAGGGCGTCCTGCCAATTCATGCACCGTCTTCGTATGTCCTGTCCTTTCCTTTGTTTACTTGCATATCCACACAGACATTTATCTTATCTGCTGTTGACACACTTTCGATTGGTATAGTCTGTCTGAACTTGACTGCTAACAGGGTATACGGCCCTAAGTGTAGACTCAAGATGAAGCTGATACGCCAGTGTGGAAGGGGCGTTCGGTAGGATCTGCGGGCTTATCTGTGTGCAAACATACAAAACTCCACACATACAAAACTCCACGTGGCTGACCCCGGGGGCTTATCCCGGCAGCGGCAGATCATCTGTGTTTTGTAAATGAGGAGCTACTTGAGCAAGCTCCAAAATCTTGACTGAATGGAGCACAGTTTTTTTTTTTTTTTTGTACTTCTGACTTCTTAAACTGAATATTTACTGAGCTTATTCATGGTGATTACTTTGTTTTTGGTCTATTGAGCCCAGAGCATAACTATAAGAGCCCTTTTACAGTGAAATTTCCATATGGATTTCTATATACATACATATATGTCACATATGAAGCTTGCAGACTTAATTGATTCAATTTGCAAAATCTCCTCCCAGAAGAAACACATATCAGTTACATAGTCATATGAAGAATTGAATATGTATTAGGAGAAAAGACAATCTGCAGCTATCCTGAGAAAGAAGCATTACTTAAATGCTTAATTAAATATTTTGATGCAAATAAAAACTGTATTTCTAGCCAATTCCATATGCTATCGAAGGCCTGAAAGATGTTAGCACACAGTGAAAATGAAAACAGTCAAAATTGTTCTCAGAAAGAGTTGCTGCTTTTTAAGTGCGGACCTGCATAACTGAAACTAATTAAGACTTTTACCAGTTACAATGGGTTAGTAAATCTTAGTTAGTAAATACTTTATTGAGGGCCTTTGCCATCCGTACAATGATAAAGCAATCAATGTAGCACTCTAAAATTTATGTGATACAGGCTCGTGATGGAAGACATAGAGATACGGTCGTAGCAGGGCACCGCAGAAATAAAAATCAAAAAAGAACACAGGAGGGTAACATACCGATCTCAGCTACAAACACACTGATAATCTACAGTTGGAAAGGAAATTTTCTGCTTTCAGCGACCCACGTTTTCTCTTGCTGAAGTGGAGTCAAGGATCCACATTTGCGGTGAATCCATTTAGACAACGTAGGCTACTAAAGCTATATCATCTATAATTAAAGCACATATTAATATTTAAGCCGAGTTTAGAAACTAGTGTGGAAACCAAGGAGATGTGGACTGTACTAAAGACATATTCTTACACTTTTAAGGTTATGATTTTTTTAAATTCCAAAATTAAAATGTTGCAGCCTGTACAATATACACTAGTATAGCTGAGAGTTACATAAGCAACATATGCAACCATACCTAGTACACAATTGAAGCGCAACACTGTAGCTTACCGACAGTGACAAAAAATTACGTAAATAATCATCACAGCCGCGTTTACGGACGGCCCACCCATCGGATGTTCGTATCACGGCCGCGGGGGGCTCGGGGGGGCTCGCGTCGAGTGGAATGAATGACTCGCCTCACGGAGGGGGGCGGAGACGCACCGAACTACTTACTACTACATCGCTATGTGACTCTCAGAGAGAACAGTATTCAAATCGAGTGTGGATCACAAGACGCGCCCAATCTGCCGCTCGTTCGCTGTGGTTTCATCCGTGTGCATATATATTAAGTAGACGTCGTTGGCTATACTATTTACTTAAAATAATATGGCCAAAGGAGAGGGAGCTGAGCAGTTTTCTGCGACGAGTTTGCTACAAAATAGACCAGCCAGCCCAGATGGGGTCAAATTAGCGAAGGTAAGTGGCAGGTTGATATTTATTAATTGTTACCATGGTTAGCTAGTCTAGCTATCAACATTACCCAGTTAGGTAGCGTATGATTTTTTTGTATTTGTAGAAGATTAAGAAAACGTGCAATTAATTTGAAAAGCTAGCTGCCTAACTGTAGTCGGAATAAATCCATATGAAACGTCTTGTCTAAACAATTGGTAATTGTATGGATTCGCGTGGTTGATACACCGGCCTCCTTAACATTTCAAAGGTTTTTTCCTTTGGAACTGGAAGGCATATAAGGCAAGGCGTGTGACGATCTAAATAACTAGCTAATTAGTTAACCTCAAGCGGTTCTATAACCCGATATTATAAAATCACACAATTTCGCCCATGAATCTATGTAGAGTCTATTCATATATTTAATTTAATACAAGGCGGTCGTTTCTTAACCAGCTGTAGCTAGCGTATATTTTAAATATACATGATATCTAGGCTAATAGATATGAACTTGCCGGTTTTAAAGCTGCAGCGTTCAAATTGTGCATCAAATAAACCGACTTGTGTAATCTGCATAGATCGTTAAGAGGTTCCTAATTATATTATGGTAGTTTCTGTTTTCTCAAATCACAAAAGCAGTTTTGTTATTTTTGTTTCTTTAAATTGGAAAAGAACGCAAGGTTCTCATTTGTAGAAAATTGTCCACGTTGGTCGTGCAGAGCTACGTGTCATTGCGATCCAGGGGGTGGATCCGTGCGTATCTGGAGTGGGAATTTTCGATTGAATGTGAACGGCATTTCGTGTTCATTCTTAACGAACAAAAACGTCGTTTTTGAACATTTCTGGATATAAAACTAATCTTGATACTCCCACTATCACAGGGTATGGGTTATGGATTACTGAAGGTGTCACTGGAAGTAAATATTTAAACCTCTCTCAAGTGGAATTTTTGGGGAATTTCTTTTGAAAGTTCTCGATTTTACATTCGAGAAACCTATCAAATCTCCTAACGTGACGTTCTTTGCAACTTAATACTCCGCAATAACTCTAAATAAGTTCAATACGAAGTGGATCGGTACACGTAGCCTATCCCCATGTAATTAACTTTTGGGTATTTGTTTAAAAGTAATGACTAGGTGCTACTTTAGTTCATTATAAATAAGCACATCTGTTCTCATTGATTTTTTTCTTCAGATTAAGTTTACATTCAAGATAACGTTGTACAGTAAACACAATTGACCTTCAGTAATCTAATTTGCCCTGAATTCTTTTCCGAGGTAGAAGTAGTCCACTTATACCTGTACGCAAATCGGGCATTTTTTAACATGCTTGTGGTGCTATGAATTTGGTTTTGCTTCATCTAAAGGTGTGTGTTTTAAACGTATCAAACGGCCAGTTCCAGAATCTTTAGGACATATCATACTAGTTACCAGTTTTTGTGCCCTTTCCATCAAAGCGATTAAAACACGTAACTGAGTCATCGTCATACAATGCTACGATTACTACTGCCATAATACTACTGTAGCAGGCTTACTAAGCCAAAAATCAAATTCTGATTGTCCACTCGTGACTACAATGGTAACATATTCTGTTCTCTTAAAGAGATCACAGTTGGTTGCGGTATAGCTCAGTCCTGACGACTTCACCTTTCGATGTCATGGCACTTTCACATGAGGCAGAAAAAAAACCCCAAACAAATACTACCCACAACTTCAAAGTGCAACGTAAATTAGTCCACAGAGTGGCTGAATTGATCCTGAATGTGGGGGGAAAAGAACTATACTGTATGTGTGTCCTGGTGGTGGCGATGTAAAGAGCCTCGATGTTATTTCTGATCCGGCTCTATGTCATTGAATTTATGGTGCGAAATGTGTGACCATGTGACACGTCAAACACACAAGCTGTATTTCACTGGCAGCAGACGATGCAGGTCTGGATGGTGGTTGGCCATTCATAAGACCTGTTTTTAACCAATCAATGTATAGTGTTCAACACCACCATGACAGATCCATTAACTTTGAAATTGTTGCTGTATGCTGTATGTGCTAATCTTGAGTGTTTGGATTTTTAGTGTAGAATTTCAGTGTTGCATAGATACATACATACATACATAGAGATTTAAACATCTGGCTTTGTATTGAACTGAAATAACAGCATCAGATGTATCTCTTTGAAATTATTCACTCTTTACGAT